TTGACTCTTGGTCTTCTGTATAAGATTTGGCTTCGGCGTCCTCTTCTCTGAGCTCACGATGAGCACTTGTGTCATCTGCATACCGGTTTGGTGTCATTTCGTCTCCTTTTGTTCTTCTTCTTCACATGCTACGCATGTGTTTGATCTTGTACACCATGCGACCTATGGACATCTCCCTCACGGCATTTTTCGCAGGTATAAATACTATCTTGTGGTGGTTGACGATTTCTCGCATTATTCGTGGATTTTCCTTTTGCATGCGAAGTCGGATACCTTCACCACTCTTCTCCACTTTTTCGCCGGGTGTCACTTCTCGAGTCGGCCTCACCATCAAGGCCGTCCAGTTGTGACAATGGCCGTGAGTTCGATAACGGCACCTCCGTTCTTCTTCCTCTCTCACACGGTGTCCAATTGCGCATGTCTTGCCCGTGATACCTCCTCCCGTAACGGCAAGCCCGAGCGCATGATTCGCATGCACGAAACGACACCATGCGCACCCTTCTCGCTCGGTGCCGCCACTACCGCTCGCTTCAGGCGCAGAGTCCGCACACCTCCACCTATCTCCTTAACCGCCTTCCTTCCACGTTGCTCATGCCTGGCTCCCACACCACACCACGCCTCTCTTGGTACCTCCTCGGTATGACCACCTTCGTGTCTTGGTGCAAGGTACCCTAACACCACCGCCACCGCTCCCTCACAAGTCGCTCTCCTTCCCGCCGCCTGTGTGTCTTCCTTGGGTACTCCCGGATCACAAGGGGTACTGGGGTGCTTTGACCTCACCTCCCGTCAGGTCATCATCTCTCGCCATGTGGTGTTTGATGAGTCTGTCTTCCCCTTCTCCACCACCACCACACCATCTCCCACCCCCGATCCGGACCCCTTCTCTTTGTTTCCCACTGACACGGTGGTCCAGCCACTTTTACCGCTGTCTCCTGCAGGTATCGCTTCCCGTGCCCTCTCGGCCCGTGCCCCCCTCGCCACCCACCAAGGCGCTTCCTGCCCCGCTGCCGCCTGGGTCGGGCGGCGCCCCTCGAGCTTTCCTCGCCCCTGTCCTGACAGCTGGTCCGGGACGCCACTGTCGCACCTCGCTGCGTTCGCCACTGGGGTGCATCGTCTCACCGGCTGCAGTGTCTTGCAGGCACAGCTGCCTCCGGCATCACCGGGGTCCCTTCTCCACTGTGACGCTTACACACCACCGTGGCCCCTTCTCCACTGGCAAACCCCTACACACTTACCGCCGCCGCCTCGAGTCGCCCAGTGTCGTGTCGTCGGTGTACCACCATAACTCCTTCACCGACACCCGCGGCATGTTCACCCTATGGTGACGCGACACGCGGCCGGTACCCTCGCGACCCCGGCTCGTGACGATGCCCGACGACCCGCAGAATCTCTCTCGCACCCTCTTCCGCTCACGACGCCTTGTCGGACCCTCATTGGCGCCATGATGGAAGAGAGCATGCGGCCTCTCCTCGCCAACCAGACATAGGGGATCGGTGCCCCGTCCACCGGATCCAACGTCGTCACCGGAAGTGGATCCAGACACACAAGCGGCGGGTTGATGGTTCCTTTGAGAGGTACAAGGCTGTTGGGTTCTCACGGGTTTCACTTTCGGTATACTCGGTCGATTATGATGAGACTTTCAACCCGTGGTGGAAGCCCCACCGTCTGACGACAGTGCTTTCTCCACGGCTCTCGATCGCTCTTGGCAGGTGCATCACCGGACGTCAAAATGCCTTTCTCCACGGGACTCTCACCGAGACGGTCTCTGCAGCCGACCAGTGGGTTTGTTGACTCTTCTCGTCCGGGACATGGTCTGCCGGCTCAACAAGTCTCTCTCACGGGCTCAAGCGGGCCCCCAGGCGTGGTATTCTCGGTTTGCTGCTTTCCTGCTGACACTGGGGTTTGTGGAGGCCAAGTCAGATACGTCCCTGTTTATCTATCACCATGGAGCCGAGACTGCCTATCTGCTGCTCTACGTTGATGATATTGTCCTCACGACCTCCAAATCCGTCCTTACTCACCGTGTCATCGCTTCTCTTGCCGGAGTTTGCTATGAAGGATCTTGGTGTGCTCCACCACTTCCTCTGGTCATTGTTGAGCCTCGCCTGCACCGCCTTCTCCTTCACCAAATGCAAGATACACTCTTGATATCCAGGCGTGCCGGGATGACTAACTGCAAGCCCTGCTCTACTCAGTTGACACATGAAAGTAAGCCGTCGAGGTCGTGGGAACCGCGTGGTAAGGCAGACCATCACTACTCGGAGTCTTGCAGGGTGCCCTTGATTACCTCACCTTCACTCGTGCCAGACATCACCTATGCAAGATAGACAGAGATATGCCTTCACATGCATGATCCCCGAGCCTCACCTCACTGCGCTCAAGCGCCTCCTCCGCTACCTCCAGCAGCCTGCATCGACTACTGGCTTACTCCTTCACGGTCTTCCTCCACCGAGCTCGTCGTCTACCTTGCGCGCTGACCGGGGCGGGTGTCCGGACACTCGCGCTCTACCTCAATACTCTGTTGTCTTTACGGGCGGCAACACCGTGTCTGGTCGTCCCAAGCGCCACCGTGGTCTCCCGATCCAAATCTTTAGGCGAGTACCGAGTCTGTCGCTGCTAACGGCGTGGTGAGGCCTCCTGGCTCCGACAGCTCCTTGCCAAGCTCCACAACCCTCTCTCCCGAGCCTGTTGGGTCTCTTTGCACGACAACGTCGGTCTATGTGTACCTCTCCACCAACCTGTCAAAAAGCCTAACGGACCAAGCATGTGGAGATCGACCTACACTTTGTCCGTGATCGGGTTGCCATCGGCGATGTTCGGGTCCTCCACGTCCCACCACCTCCCGGGCTCTGCTGACATCTTCACCAAGGGCCTCCGTCCATCGACCTTCACTGAGTTTCGCTCCGGCCTCAACATCATTGGTGGCTAGTTACGTCTGTGGGGGATCGTGTGTGTTTTTTTTTCATGTCCATCTCAGAATCTCATTGCTACCGTAGTTCGGATCATGGGAAAGTGTTGGAGTATGAGAGTATGAGTGTATTAGGCCCATGAGGCCCATGTATGACTAATATACATTGCTACCCTTCTAGGGTTAGCCTTGAGGATGAATACACAACTCTAGCATTATTCATTCGAAACTTAAAGCGAGATCCCAGATGAAAAACACATCATTGACAAAAAAAAGGACTAATGGATAAGATCATTGAGAAAACTAAGGAACCAATTACTTTTACCTGAGATTTGATAAAATCCTCTGAATTGACCATGATACGGCAAGATTGACACATGCAACATATCTGGGTTGGTAATTAACTGAGAGTAAAACGGTATGTGATTAGAAGCGTTAAAATAAAGAAATCAAATTAAAAACACAATTCTATAGCCCTGAGACATAGTTACCAATGAAAGCATTATCCCCGATCCACAAACGATCTTCTCTAGGAGTATCACCATCATATATTTTAACATCAAAATCAAAATGAGATGCATTCTTCATCTCTAGTAAAGTCCTCAACTGATCTTGAGCTAAAGCCTGGAAAACAAAAGGAGCATGAATTTCTATCGATATTATTGATGAACAATTGACCATTACTAAAATGTAATAGGTTATTTCCCATACCTTTGTCGGAAATATGTACAGAGCACACGCCATCGAGTCTTGGGAAAGAGATTCAAGAACAGGAATATTGTAACATAGAGACTTTCCACTTGATGTAGAAGTTGCAACGACAATGTGCCTTCCAGAAATAGAGGACTTTATGGCTTGAGACTGCACTCAAAATAAAAAAACAACATAAGACAATGACCTAATTAAATATGCACTAAATGTAACACACCCGGCATACCTGGTGGCTATACAGTCTAGATATTCCAATACTCTTCAGCGCTTCTCTCATAGCTTCTGAAAGATTACAAGGAAGATTTGTAAATGATGCCTCTCTAGATGGTATCTCTTGGATATGTACGATCTGCACATACAAATTGCAACGATTAAAAGACTATTTCTTTGTTTGCAGTATCAATTTCAGAAAGTTATATAAGTGAAAACCTGCTCCTCCTTTCCAAGTCCTTGTTTCAGATGTTCAACCATTTCAGCAGGTTCCAAAGGGTGCATATCCTGCATTGCAACCACATGATAATCAAAAAGATATCCAGCTTCTAAGGTAAAAAATATGTATGGCAAGCCAATATGTATGTGGTATGCCATATGCCTATTGCATTCTTCTTGGGCAAGAAACACTAAGCTGCCATTTGGTTTTCTTCTCCGGGTGATGAAAGTTAAGATGAAATTGGCAGTGGCAGAGAGAAAAACAGAGGTGATACATACATGACATGACATAGCAGCAGATTTGGCCACCCCACTTTTCTTACTTATGTTGTGTTTCTCAGCTGTACCATTCGCTTCAGGGGACACCATTTGTGGGGAACCATTTCCATTTCTCTTGCAAGTTTTCCTCCGTTTCCTTGATGACCCACTTGACGAACTTTGACCAGCTGTCATATCCTCCATAAATCTCCCAGAGAACGGGTCACATGAGGAGTAAAAATCTTTGGAAGCAGCATCAGACTGTGGGCTGGTTGGCATTGCTGAGAGGTCATCCATAATGTCTTGCCAAGCTGAATTAGCCGCAGAAGACACTTCTGGTTGTTTTGGTGGATTGAGGCCCTGCTCTTGACTTGCCGTGCAAACTGAAGAACGTTGCTGTGGCATCCTTGTGAAGGGTACGAGAACAATGAATTCATCGCCGACGATTGCAAGGCTGCCAATCTCAGCGTCTAAACGCAATTTAACACCCTTCAGCACACGAGGAAAATTTCAGCATGAGTAAGGTGCTACTGTATTCAACTAATGTCCATAGTGAAGCTGCAACTGCTAGCAGTCTTAACCCAATGAGACATCAATGCCACGACGAAGCGAGACAGTCTTAGCACACGCCGGAAAGCTAGAGGTAGGCTGTTGCGCGGCACCTTGAGGAAGAGGTGGAAGTTGGGGCGACTTGCGCCGGCAGGAATGAGGTCCGGAGCGCGGCCTTCAGGTCCCGGACGGAGCCGCCGGGGGCAGCTTGACGACCGTGGATCGCCCGTCGAGGGCCCGGACCTGGACCTCCCTCCCCCTCCTGCTCCGCCGTCATCAACAAGCGCGGTGAGGAGGTGGAGGAGCCGGAGCGTAGGACTGCAGCTCCGGAGGCGGCGGCCGGTGGCTGGTTTTGGCGCGTGCCGAGCGAGGAGGTGGGGGCGGACGCGGAGGCGGCGGCGGTTGCGCGGCCGTTTTCCCGTTTCACACTCTCGTCGTCCCGTCCCGTGCATCGGGCCCTGGTGGGTTGGGCAGAAATGGCAGGCGGGCTTGATTGTGTGCGTGCTACCTGATGTGGGCCGGTTTCGTCCTCTTGTCTGGCAGAGCCCAGCTTCAAAGCATGGGTTGTCCCCTGCCATAGCCCATATCCATCCACAGCATACGGGGAGGCGAATGGATACCCCTAGTGGCCCCTAGTGGCCAGTGGGCCGTGAGCCACAAAGTCCTTCTTGCCCCCGTTGTGGTCTGATACGTGGAACTCTATTAGATCTATCTATAGCCCCACGAGACAATCTTAACGTGCAAGTTGTCCACCTCATCAATGTATCTCCCTCCAACGATGGCTGCCACAAGCGGCCCCGCCCTAAGCCCATCGTCCTCGTTCTTTTCCCTCGCCTCCCTCTCCCCACCCGTGAGGGAGGCTCGTTGGTGAGTGGAAGATGATATCCTTGACGCCTCAAATGTGGAGTTATGTCGCCACCACCTCCCCATCCGCTACTGGATGCGGTTCATCGAGGAGCTAGCCGCCGCCGCCAAGGATGTCGCTGCTACCGAGAAAACTCGGTGCGTGCCCCATCTCAGAGGCATGCACCGCGATGTCGTGGTTGAGAAGGGCGTCGGTGGCGATGCAAGTGCCCCAAGCATCGTCGGCCACGCCTGCGGCTCATTCATGAGCTTCCTATCCACGGTAGGGACGATAACGACTGGACTAATCGGGTTGCACGTGATGCCACGTGGTCCGTACTAGCCCATCTCGTAGCTTGGACCACAACCTACCTCTGAACTTCGCAAGCGCATCTCCGCTCGGGGACGCTGATGGTTGGCACAAGGTCCTGTCGCAAGGGCCATTAGGTAGCCGGAAGACTGTCAACCCTCTACCCGTTTCCCGATAGACCTACACGGGGCCGGTGTGCCTCAACTGTCTCTCTTCCTCGCACATGTCTGTCATGACCTTTGATCAGTATGTTGTTATGGTATTGAGTTGCAAACTTTATAACCTTAATCCGTATGTATGTTGCAATCCCTAATTAATATATGCCTTGTAACCCTAATTATGGAAATCTCGGTCTAGAAACTATGAGGTGGTTTTCATGCTTACCAAGACAACTAGACATTACAAATAGAAACCACATACCTAATGGATAGTTTCTTTAAAATTAATTTTTTTTCCTATCAAATGTCTTCTCTCATATCACCTACCATTCAAATTTCTTTGTATCATCGTTCCTGTGTAGACATAGTTTTCTATATAAAAACTATTTTTCCCTCTCTCTTCGTTAGCTACAATGCTACATCAATATTTTGTTTAGTTGATATATTAATTAATGGTTATAAAAAACATGTAATTTCTACGCTGAAAGTGTCCTTAGTAGGATAGTACGATCCTAGTCACAAAATGGGTATATTAAACATAACGTGCATACAGCCCTTGTTTTTTTAGGCAAGAAAAGAGGCCCAGATGTCCATACCTGTCACGATCACTCATTCACGTAAGGCTTGTTCGCTTGAACTTATCAGCCGGCTTACCAGTTATAATCTACAGTATTTTTCTCTCACACCAAACCAATCAACAGTATTTTCAGCCATGGCTTATAAGCCAAATCAGCCCAAACAAACAGAGCGAAAACAGCTTCAGCCGGTCGGCTTTAATACCTAATGCACATCCTACTAATATAATGAACATGCATACAGCTAATTGTATTAAAATTAGGCTCGTGCATACATATTCTCGCACGTATTCTCTGCTCATTTAATAGCGTGTTTGGTTCGATGGTGAGGGGAGCCTCTCTTGCATGTGGGAACCAGGCTTCCGCAAGGCTGTGCAGGTGCAAGAGTTGTTGTTTGGTCGTTTGCACGTACAGAGTCTGGTTAAGAAGAGATAGTACTCGTGCCGTATGAAATAAGAATGGAAAAACAAAACCTTAAAGTATTTAACTTGTATAACTACACTCTGGTAGTACATATTTTACTTTGAATATTTTAATCTACTTTAAAATATACTAATGTCACTTAATATGTATTAATTATATGTTAATAGCATCATTAAAAAACTCCGCACTGCACCATGCGAGCCATGCTCGTGCGGCTCTCTTGGCTATCTTTAGCATATATGGAGAGCCGGATTCTAACGGCAACCAAACACTTTAAAAATGTATCTGAGCAGTCTAATTAGGTAGGCTCTAAGAGGGTGTTTGAGACTGTTCCGCCGCTCCACGTTTTTAGTCAAATGATTTTAGCTCCACGCATTCTATTTGAGAAAAAATGGTGAAGTTGTGAGAGCACCTAAAGGTGTGCTCCATAAACTTCTGTTTTTTGTGGAGCTGCTCCATCCTGAAATTTATGGAGAATTTGTGGAGCGGTTCCAGACACGCCTAGATTCCAATGCTTCACATGCATGCATAAGTTCTTGGCTTCTTGCACGCACGAGAGAAAAAACAACGGTGTGGTGATTCGCTGATTGCACGTCGACTTGGTGCCGTATGGAGAAAAGAGAAGCAACGGCTAGGCGTCGGCTGTTTGATTGAATCCTGGACCAGGCAACTTCCACCGCGTGGGGCTGTTTGGATTAAATTCCAGGCTACACAACTTTTGGTCACGCGTGTTCCGTTCCGGAAAAAAAATTCGTTCTGGCTGCATCCTCAGACCGTGCAGTCCTATTTGATCCAGCGGCGAAGCTAGAGCGAAATGAAGGGGTGCAAGAAAAAGAAGCGATAAAATATAATTATCAAACCGAAGAATTCCACGAACAATATTTTAAGACTAAAAAGTGAACCAATAAAAAAATACAAATATTACCTTTAACCTTCATCATCAAATCTACGACCTTGCATTTTCATGAAGCGACGAACCACGGCCTCATTGGTGACTTTCAACAGCTCTTCTTTCTCCACATAGCAAATAAGGCTATTGCTCATATATATATATCACCAATGTGATTGCGCAATTCTGTTTTCACAATTTTCATGGCTGAGAAACACCTCTCAACTGTAGCAGTAGCAACAGGTAGCACTAGCACAAGCTTCAAAAGTAGGTAAACCATTGGATAACGTTCGTGTTTTCTAGTCTTCACCATTGTTTGAGAAAGCTTGGCAACAATTTGTAGGTTGGAGAACCTTTCATCGTCTCTCACATCATATATGTAGAGGCCAAGCTCGTGGTTAAGATCCCTCAAATTCCCAGAATCAAAATCATGTGGATAAAGATTCGCTAGGCTCATCAAATTTTCTATACTAAAATCATGGAACGAGTCTCTTGGACTAAAAGCTGCTGAGCAAACAAGCAATTGAGAGCCTGTCTCATTGAAGTGGCTGTCAAGTTCTTGAAGTAGCCAATCAATAACATCATTAAAACAATCTACTTGATAATAATGCTTGTTTGTAATTCTAGATTTTTGCCTCCGCTTCTTTGGATCAATATATTCATCTTCCATTTCCAATTTGCAAATATCATTCTTGTCACAAAATCCATGCACATCATCTAATAGTTTCACCCACTTTTCTTTTCTAAGTTCATCCAATTGGCACTTCGTTGCTTTCACACATTTAATAGCATTCACTATATCCTGATCCTTCCGTTGCAATGCTAATGACAAGGTATTAGTGATTCCTAATATAGTCAACATGAGATGCAAATAGAAGACAAAGTCAAAAGACTAGAAGTATCGTAGAAGGTTTGATGCTTGATCTCTAATTTTCCAATCCTTATTATCTTTTTCCACAATTTCTAGTACCTTGACTATTGTAGGAAACATGTCAACCAAACTTTTGAGAGATTTATAATGGGAACTCCAACGAATATCTCCAGGTCTTTGAAGACTTTGCTCTTGATTTAACCTTGTCCCAGTCTGAAGTTGCCTGTAGCCTTATGCTTTACTCATTTCTTCAAGATTAATATCTCTAATCATGTCCCTTCTCTTAGATGATCCACCCACCACATTCAATAACATAGAAATCATAGTAAAAAATTCACTAACCCCTTTATGCTTTCTCGCAATGGCCACAAGGACTAATTGAAGTTGGTGAGCAAAACAGTGAACATAATAAGCTGAACTATTTTCTTTCATGATCAATGATTGCAAGCCGTTGAACTCACCTCACATATTGCTAGCATCATCGTATCCTTGGCCTCTAACTTGCTTTAAGCTTAACTTAAGATCAGCAAATAATGCATCAATAGCAGACTTGAGACTCGCAGAATTTGTTTCTTTCACATGAACAAGACCAACAAATCTTTCTTTAACAATTCCACATTTATCTACATATCTTAAGACCATTGCCATTTGTTCTTTCCAAGAAACATCTCTCGACTCATCAACTAGCAAGCAAAAAACATCATCCCCAATTTCTTCTAGAATAGAGTGTAGCACTTCCTTTGCAAAACAATGCACAATATCATTTTGTATTTCAGGAGCAATCAAAAGGTTGTTATCCGAATTCTTTTTATCTACTGCCTTTCTTAAGGTCGGATTTTGCTCCTCTACAAAATTACAAAATTCCCTGAAGTTCCCTTTATTTAAGGACTTCTTTGACTCGTCGTGGCCCCGAAACGGCAATCCTTGCTTCACCAATATTCTAGCAACATCAATAAACCCATTCAAACGAGTAAAATAGTCCTTAGCAGATTCACTCACATCACGGAAAGCAACATCAATGTGCTGTTTTTTGTTGTAAGAGATCATCACATTTCTTCATTGCCGGATAGTGTGAGCCACCGACATTACCAACATGATTTTGTAGCCTTTCCTTTCTATGATAGCCATTCCAACCATTTTTAACAAATGCTTCATATCTGCCATCCTTCTTTTCTCTAAACAAGAAACAATAAAAGCAATATGCTCGTCTTTGGACTCACTATATTCAAGCCAACCTCCAAACTCATCGAACCATTCGAACAAAACCTTCTTGGAATTCCTCCAATATTTGTCACAGAAAATGAATCTGTCTGAGGTTGGCAAGGCCCATTCTCCAAGTACTTTCTTCTCACCTCTCTCTAACATTAGGATGACAATCATCAATTTGTTTCCTTAATCCTCGGATCAAACTTAATCTCCTCCTCCCGATTGATATCATCCAAACGTGAATTTCTAGCATTATTGCCACTATCCATTCTGGTGCTTTCCTTTTTATAAAATCGTTCCATT